TTTTCCACTTAAATATTTTATTGTCTTAAACAGAAAATAAGTAGAAAATCATTTTTTTTTATTTGTCTGATGACATGATTAATGATTTCTAGATCCATTTCTGTCAGCAAAATTTTGCCAGTTTTCATGTTGTCCAGAATCCTACTGATATTATAAGAATTGGTATACTTGGAGATTTTTAACTACTTTAACTACTTAGAAGAGTGGACAGTGGTCACTCTGTGTCTCATCGTCCTCCTAAAAGAGATTCTTAGCAGAGGTTAAAAAGCTGACACCTGATATTTCATATATGCAAAGAGATGCTTCCTCATTAAAATTTAAAACATGTTTAATGTCATTTAATTTAATATCACTTTTTTTTCTATCTACAAATTATATTTTATTATGGAACTACTGTGTGCTGTATACTTGTAGAACATTTGACAATCAATCAGTGCATTTAATAATTTTAAGTCTATAGTTACAGGCAGGATACAGTCTCATAGTCTCCTCTTTGTCTTCATCTGTATTGAGCTTATATTCCTGGAAGCCACAGGCGTAGACTTCTCCAAAGCCAGTAGTCTCTCTTTCAAAGATAAACTCAAGAAGTAAGCTAATTTTAAATAACGGAAGTCTTCTTCAGAACTGTAGACATTCATCGGCAAAAATACACTTTTACCTCTAGGGAAAGGTCAGCAGCAAGCCCCACCCAGATCTTTGCAGTGGCTAGAATATCCTCACAACTAACTTGTCAAAAGTGAACGTGGGCCAAGTTTGTATTCAGTTCTCACAATATTAAAAAACTGGAGCCATGGGGTATATGGCAGTGTTTCTAAACTGATCCAAAATAGAGGCTCAGCTTGATGCCAGTTCTTTACATGAACTGCCAGACTAAACAAGTACCTTTTGAGGTTCATCCATCACAATTTATGATACATTAAGCTAAATCTAATGTTCTCTCAGGCTGGTGTTAGGGGATTTTCAATAGTCAGACTAAGAAATTGCATTTGGGGAAAGGGATTTCTCCTTTCTTTTTCCGTAGAATTTCTTTAGTTCTATAGAGTCTTGTTATGTCTATTGGATTCTTGTTATACTCTGGTACTAATCGCAGATTGATTTTAAGCATTTGAAATCTTAACTGGTTAGCAGCAAATGACTTTTAACATTGCATGAACTACTGTAAATTGTTCGCTGAAAAAGAGAGTGTTTAATTATAAATGAAGAAACCTGCTTCCCAGTTGATTAACTATATTAAACACTTTATATTTTCAAAGCTCTACACTATTGCTAATAAGCTGTTTTTCACAATGGGTCTCAGAGGGAACCTAATACTATCACCTCTTATTTTTATAAATGATGCACTTGACCCATAAAAATTAGATTTTCTATGTTGGACCACATAGAAATGAAAAACTAGAATTAGGTTTCATGATCTTAATGTACCTGTGCTTAGTTTACAGAGCCACGATTTTAGTTTTCTGAGGAGCCGAAGTTAGAAAATCAAATAAATTTAACTGTCCGCACTTACTAGAGATGGTGACGTGCACGCACGCACATGCGCGCGCACACACAGAAACGCGGGATTTCCTTTTCCTTAGAACATTTCTGTTCTGTATGCGAAAGTAGGTATTCTGTTATAGGGTAACATAAAACAAGCTCAGTGAGATGGCTCTCCAGTCAAATGATCCATGCTACTTATTCTGATGTTCCTTAACTTTAGCACACTTGCCAGACTGACTTGTCCCTCTTTTCCTTTTTTAGAATCTGTCATTTGGAAGACCGATGCTATTGACACTGGCCAAGTTATAGAGTGGTCTGATACTGAGAAAAACAAATATTTGTAGCAATGACTTCATTTTAAAAGCCCACTTGATTATATTGCTTTTTATAAAAAATATAGTTGTATATCATATTGAATTTTATTTATTAATCATTAGATTTATAATCTTTAAATTTTTTTTACTTTGGATTTTAAAAGTTATTTTCCATGAATAAAGCAGTTTTTAACACGTAATATATACTGGGATTTTATGTTGTTTTTTTTTTAATCTGAGGTTTTGGATTGTTTTTGTTAAGTCTATCTAATCTAATGAGTTTTCAGTTCTCTCAATAGCAGTATCAGTTTAATATGTTATTATGCAGGGAACAGAGCTAAACAATAGTAACTGCCTAGTAAATAAATGGTAGTCACTAAAACATCAGAATTTTTGGGCGCCTGGGTGGCTCAGTCGGTTGAGCGACTGCCTTCGGCTCAGGTCATGATCCTGGAGTCCCGGGATCGAGTCCCGCATCGGGCTCCCTGCTCAGCGGGGAGTCTGCCTCTCCCTCTGACCCTCTCCCTCTCGTGCTCTCTATCTCTCATTCTCTCTCTCTCAAATAAATAAATAAAATCTTTAAAAAAAAAATCAGAATTTTTGTTTGTTTATGGCCACCGACATAATTTTGGAATGAAATTTATTCTAACTGTACCTCCATATGAAGCTATTAATAAATTAATATATACATTTAAACTTTGAAAATTAAGAATTGTCTGTTTAAAATTTTTATTTAGGCATATCATTTTTCTATAGAAATAGAAATGGGAAAGTAAGAGGAAACTCATTTGAGTATTATGGTGCTAACAAAAGTAACTGCTCCTTGACATACTATTTTTTTAGGACTGTTAAAAAAAAAGAAAAAATATTATATGATATGGTTTACTTTGTGTTATAGAATTTTAATTGCAGGGCTGACTGGGTGACTCAGTCAGTTAAGCATCTGCCTTTGGCTCAGGTCATGATCTCAGGGTCCTGGATGGAACCCCACATCAGGCTCTCTGTTCAACGGGGAGTCTGCTTCTGCCTCTCCCCCAGCTTGTGCTCACTCTCTCGCATGCTCTCTCTCTCTCAAGTAAATAAATAAAATCTTAAACAATTGCATTTGAATTACATGTGTGCAATGTGCTACAGAAATTTAATCATCTGAATTACATGTGCACAATATTATATACCAAATATAATATACCAATATTAGGCATTTTCAGCACATTTATCATCCTAGATACAAAGTCTTATTTCAGTGCCAATAAAAATATAAATGTATGGCACTGGATAATAGAATGACATAATTTCTCCTAATTTCATCTTACAGTCATGTACTGATAAAGACATGGTTAGGAATAAATTAGGTTCATAAATTGCATTTTATTGTGGAAAAATGTAACAAATAACAATAGGAGAATGTGATTTAAATATTTATTTTTTGGTGTTTTCATTAAGATTGAAGCTTCACACCTTTTCTAAACAATATATTTTTTAAGATTTTTAAGTAATCTCTACATGCAATGTGGGGCTAGAAGTCACAACTCTGAGATCAAGAGTCTCATGCTCCACCAACTGAGCCAGCCAGGCACCCGTTCTAAACAGTATTTTAAAGGATTCTCTGACAATCAAATTTCTTCACACTTCTAATATATACTATGTAGAGTGTGGTTTTTCTAGACATGGGTATCATAAATGTTGGATGGGTAAACTGGACTGTAATCGATGAGTACACAATTGGCTGTACCAATATATGAGGGTAAGGGTTATATCTACTTTGTTCATCGTGTGTAATAAGGGCCTTATCTAGTACCTAGTCATGAACAGGAGCCCTGTAAATTTTTCTTGAATGAAAAGAAAGATATAAATATCATTTTTGATATTCATTTATCTCTCCTCACTAAAATGCAAACAAAAAAGCAGATGAAAATATTTGGGGCTGACGAGCAAAAAAAAATTAAAAGCAAAAATTTTTAAGATTAAAACTGTATTAAGCTCTAGTGCATTCTTACATAGTTCTATAGATTTCCATGGTGTTTCCTGGCCTTAATGGAATGAACTAAGGAAAATCAGGTTAAACTCAGCAAAGGTTACCCAGAATACAGTTAGAAGGCCTCCACTATCCATGGGCCTTCTAAATTCACGTCATTTTTGCTAGTGTCATTTATATATGGTTTGACGGTAAAAGTGAATGGTCAGTATTTTATTCTAATAATTATGTTGCCACACGTATGCTACATATTGTCCCATAAGGACATAAAGTGATATGAAGGGAAAGGGAAATGAATAGGATATTAGTAAGGAGAAGAATGTGTGTCTATGAATCACTGCCAGGAAAAGGAACAAACCCTGTTGTTTATTGAATCCCACGGTATCACTCAAAGTTCAGAACTGGTACCCTTAGGAGACCAGTAGATGCTTCTCCAGAAGCCTCTGGTAGTCATCACTGCTGACCCAGGCTGTGAGAACAGTACGGACCTTGCACCCAGAAAGCACTGTTAGGATACAGACACAGCATGTTTTCCAAACCATCTGCCGAGAGGTTCCTCTGGCCATCTGCACGAGAGAGCCAGCAAACAGTTTCAACTGGAAACATCTATGTATGGTGGAATAGAACAGTCACAGGAAATGTTTTGAAAACAATTTTCTTTTTCAATTCAGATTATTTCAGTCTATGAAAATGCATTATGAATGTGAACTGACTCAATTCTTACCAAACTAGTTTTGGTCAGCATGTAGGTAAAATTGTAGAAGTATTTTCTTTAATCTGACATTTGTGCAATATTTGAGTTGTCTGAAAAATTGTGCCATCATTAAGGGATGGCATAGATATCAAATTGGGCTTAATGATCCATATTATTACTTTTAACTCTAATACTTGATGTTATATAAACAAGTTGCATCATTTGTTCAAAATTCAATGGCAACAATGTTTAAGTATCACATATAGACTTAAAGCATCTTCTATGTCACTGGAAGATATTACCCAATTTATAAAAATCACTGTTTGGAGTCTCTAAGTGACTTAGGTATTCAGATATTTCCAGATTATTTGAATGAGGTTTATTGACATGCACCCTACTTGGAAATAACAAAGAAACATATATACATTTTATTTCCTTTTGTTTTACTTTGTTTCAGCTCAGAGATGATTACCTAAGTGAATGAATCCTTAACATTATGGAAGTAACACTAACTACGTATGGAATTTTTATGTTTTAGCATTAAAAAAAGGACGATTTTGGATCACACCAGATCCTTATCACAAAGATGACAACATCCAGATTGGGCGTGAGGTGAAAATATCTTGCCAAGTAGAAGCTGTTCCTTCTGAGGAGTTAACATTTAGTTGGTTTAAAAATGGTCGCCCGTTAAGAAGTTCTGAACGGATGGTTATTACACAGACTGATCCGGATGTCTCCCCGGGAACGACAAACTTGGACATCATTGATTTAAAGTTCACGGATTTTGGGACATACACATGTGTAGCATCTCTGAAGGGAGGAGGAATATCTGATATCAGTATTGATGTTAATATATCCAGCAGCACAGGTAAGAAGCATGTTTGTGATGCAGAAGATGTTCACGCTCGGAATGACTTCTTCATGTTTAGCAGACAAAGGTCTTCAGCCAGGCTAAGGCCATTCTTATTCTTTAAATTTCCTAAAACCAAAATCTAACATTCTGAATGCCCAATAAATATCACGTTAAAAGTGATATTTTTATTTTGATTTAGATTTACATGAGATTTCTATTTTTGTGATTTCTACTTTGATTTAGAGTTACATGAGATTTTATAGAAATACTGAAAATTAAAGTAGTAACATTGACTATGATAGGTATCGGCTTCCAGATTAAATGACAACAGTATTTTTTAATTAACTAGGAAACCTCTATAGACTCTAAAATTATATTAATTAATAAAGTTAAACAACAAATGCCTAAAGAGCTAAGACAAATTTTGGAAATGTTAAACAAAATATTTAATCCTAAGGAGAAAATACAGATTTATAAGAAGTGTATTTTCCACCAATGAAAACCAGCAATAAAGGTGTTAAACTTGTAATCAGAAATAACTTTCTGAAGAATCTCAGTCTCTTCACAATGAGAATGATTAAATAAAAAAAAATATATTGGAGTGAAATTCCTTCTTTTAAAGTTAGAAATGAAAAATGTTATCCATTTTCTCTAAATGAAATGTATAGATGAGGTAAATTACAGGATTATGGCATGGGAGGACATGCTAGCTTACCTCTTAGGGTGTTTTAAAGCCTGTGATTCTGTGAGCTGCAATCAGTGTGCATCCAGACAACACCAAAATAGCTTTATTTGTTTTGCCAGCTTGTTACCAGACTGAATTTCAATTTAGGATTTTTATATAACTCGAGGGTGAATAATATGTGTTGAAAACATAGAGCACACATGTAGCCAGCAGACATACTGTTTTGAGAACATTTAAACGGCTTTTCCTTTCCAGTCAGGTGGCATTTTGACTTTCGTCCAATAACAGATTGACCTGTGATTTTGTATCTTCTCATGATTCTAAGTTGCAGTGCATGCTGGATTGATTTTACTCCTTAAGGGATATAGGTCCATTCTTCAGGCTGACCAAATGTGCTTACTTTTCACATTCTGTATTATTTCTAAGAGATAGTCCATTTTTATCAGCTACCATTAATGCAAAAGGAGGTTAGAGTGATGAGAGTTACTTGTGTTTGGACAGAAATCCCTTTCTAGGAAAAATAATAATAATTAATAATTATTATTATTATTTGACTAATAACTATTATCTAACCTTTATTTCCAAATCAGTGCTAGCACCAGGTGATGGACTTATTTTAGGATATCTAATAGAAAGCTCTTGATGTGCTTGGTCATCATTCATTGAATTTTTCATTCAGTCCACAAATATCCATTGATTGCCTACATTAGTGTGCTAGGTGATATCCCACAGTGGTATCTCCTGTCAGAGTGACAACAATTTTGTAAGATCCAGGATTATCTGTCCTTATGTATGAGGGAGGATTTTCCAGAATTATGAGCATTGCTTTATTTGTTTGCTTGTTTGCATGTTTTTGTTTCCTTGTCATTGCTGTTGTTTTCAGAACCAGTGACACAAACCCAGATCCAAAAAATTCAGGCTGCTTTCGAAACAGGCTTGTCTGATGATAGCACGGTTCATACAACATTCAACTTAGACGAAAGAGGAAGCATAGAATGGACAGAAGAAAGGAGCATTATATATCTACAAAATTAGTTAATATACGACTTACGTTACCCACTTCAAACTGTACTGTAAATGGCAGAGAAGATAATTAGCCTTGATTCATGAACTTTCTAAAAATCCTAAAAGAAAAATGCCGAAAGATGATCAGAAAAGCAGAATATATTCGAGAAATGCCTCTTAGTAATAAAAGTTTACTTGTAATAAGTAAAGTTTCTTAAATGATTATTATTCTATCTGGTTACCAAAAGTAGCAACACTAGAGATAAAAGAGATAATATGAAGTCCTCTTTCAAAACACTCCCCTTTGCTGCCCCCCACCCATCTTAGACAAACCTGGTTATTATCTGTCTCCTCCTTGGAGTGGAAGCTCCCTAAAGCCTGGGTCTTTGTCAGTATTGCTCATTGTTGTAATCTCTGCATTGGAACAATACATGGTACTTTGAAGGTACACAAAGGTAATGATTAAATAAAGAAATGAGCTAATTTATTCACATAACTTTCCTTTCTAGGTTTTCTTTCCTCCTATTCCCTCTGAAACGTAGGCATTTGGCATCTCTCTTCCCGCTCTTGTAATTCCCTACTGACTTTAAGAAAAGTTGTTCAGCATACCAATTTATACTGTAATTTAAGATGTTATCACTCTTAAGGACAGGAATGGCTCCATCATTTGTGGTATCCAGTGAAAATATGAAGCAGACTCCTTGTTCATACCTTGCTAAGAATTTCGTGATGGCAACATCAAAGCATTAATTTAAGCGCAGGACCCTTCCAAGTGAGTCTGCATAGGTGGCATGGTCATGGGGCTGGTGGTCTGAGCAGGGGATTGTATTCCGATAGAAAGGCCTAGAGAAGATGTTTAACCCAAAGGATGAGTCACTGAAGGCAATCACATATTTTATCTTTATGCCAAATCTAGCTTTGATGTTCTGTTTTGATTACAGTAGAATGGAATACCAGATTATGATATAAAGATTTATAGATCTGAGATTGTGTGATCCAACTGGTATTGAAAAAATTATTTTCATCCTCACATAGTAGAAGACTACACTTAAAGCAGTGCTTTAATATGAAATACAGAGATATTCCTGGGGATAGAGTTTGAACAGTGAGAATGAACAGACTATAACATGGAGGAAAATCTTGGACTCCATTAATTCTGTGAACCACACAAGAGGATTCAGAGGAAATTCCCACAGATTGGACGAGTAAAGTCAAAGAGAAAGAAACTACTGTTAAGATATAAGTAAATATATGGGGACCTCTTAGATTCTGGATTTTGCTAGTTCTATTAGTACTATTTTAGGAAATTTGGGATTGACCAAGTGGTCAGTAATTTTCTTATGTGTTAGACATTTTCTGTATGTTAAATGTATGCTATTTAGGGTGACATCCTAAACTTAAAAAAAAAAAAACCTAAACCTTTTGTTTGTCATACAAAATCTTACATTGAATCCTAGTTGCTCCGATGTTTAAGAGACATATAAGAAATTTACTAAGATGAGAGTGAGGCCCCATAAGGCACTTATGCCTAATACAGTTAGAAAACCTTTTTTTTTTTAAATGACAGCCACATCTCTAGATATACTTTTGAGGACTTTTAAAACTGAAATATAAAATATCTCAGGAAGGTAAATCCTGAGTAAATCCAGGTAAATCCTAGTTTACAGAATTATTAGTATTTTTAAAACATAATGATTTGATTTTAGAAATACTGAAGAGAAAGGCTACATGTATTTTGGAGTTTGTCTCATACATTTGGTTGAATAATACAAACTATGATATGTGATGATAGATTATATCTTATTTCCACATTAATTCAACATTAGCTTTTTTTTTTCTCCTAACTCTGTAAACATTCAAATTATTTTATTGTAAGTATTTGTTTTGTTGATTCAAAATCCATGTTTCTGGCAGATTCTTCTACTGCATTATTGCTCTGTTTCTGGTTCCATGTCATATGATGATGGACAAATGGGCCTTACTCATTAGGACTTTGCTACCTAAGTTATCAGATGACATAGAAATTAGGCCCAGTATATAGTGGGAAGGAAGCTGTACTGAAATTTGATCAGACTTCTGTAGTAATTGGGGATGTCTTCTTCAATATTGGCTGAGGAAAGTTTCAGAGGAAAATGACATTTGAGTTAAATCTTGATGGAAGTAGCATTGTGATAGAGACAGTGGAGGGAGGGGACAGTTGGCAAAATCTACAGGATGAAGAAAGTCCCAGGGATATTACGTGATTCTTCATGTTCTGCTTTTGCTATAGGATTCATGTTAATTGATATTAATATAAGCAAGTTATATTAATGGAATTAACTAATTAATTTATAGTAACTTATCAGTTAAAAATAAATCTACTGAAAATCTCATTGTTACAATTCAATTTTGTTAAATGAAAATCTTCCACACTGAAAAATGCATGTGAATTTAAGCTTAAAATTTCAGCAACACTTAAAATCAACCCTTAAATTATTTTCACCTGATTGTTATTCATTTGAACAAATATAATTGTTATTGTAGATATTTAATTTTCAGAAGGTTTGCTGAAAAATATTCCATTGCTTCCTCCAGTGTTGTTCTGTGGCAAAGTCTTTACGTACTTGTTAGCTTGCATGTTCTCCTCTGCATGACCTGACAAACTTAGAGGTTTATAGGAAACTCGGAAGCATCTGCATCATGCTCAAAAATATAAACTGTGAGACTGGGTGGAATTCCCAAGGTGAGACATCTGGTGGGCAAATAGAGCAGAAGACTCAATACAGATCTGATTATTTTTTTCCTTGGTTGTTAGAATACAGGAGCATTTTGTATGCAGAATATTGAACTAGACTTAGGGAATTAAACCAGAGGCAACAACATAAGCATAGGTGCACAGAGGTGACCAATTGAGAAAAGCAGTTTGAAATTTTAGCTTTGCTGCTGAGTACCTGACTGGTTACTATAATTGTGAAGATTAACAAATGTCTGTACAAGTATTCACATCAGTGAAATAAAAGTTCTTGATAACATAGGGAGATGGTACACAACTAATAAGAATAGTTAATGAGCTGGAAGGCAAAAGAAAAATGATTTAAGTCTAATTCACTGATTTGCTCTTTGCCCTTTTCCAGTTAAGGAAGAATAGCAACTCCTGAAATTCTACTGAAGTTCTGTAGAATGACTATAGGTGAATGATAGATCCTTTTATGTAACAGGAAGCCGTAAGTAAGTGTTACATCCCACACATGTAAGATCTGACAGTGCTTTGATCAGAGGAAGCTTCCATGCAGTCAAAAGTTATGTAATTGCTTCCTAAACTACTGGACCCAGAAAAAAGCATTTT